AAAAAAATTATATAAAACATATTTGAAACAACCTTAATWTTTTTCGAAAGAATTATGGTGTTCCTAGAAGAATGAGATGCTCAGCCCTTCACTTTCATAAGAGTTTATAGAAATTAAATCATTTCAGAGCTTATTATATTAAATTTTAGTCTAAATTTGTAAAACATGCACACATGGAGAAGAGGATTTCTTTACACGCAGAGCTTCAGAAAAGCCTTTGAAAACTTTTTTTTAAATTTCAGATTTAGTATTGTAAAATAACTAAGTTATATCATTAGACAAATATATTGATTGGGAACAGTAACCTAATATAATCTCGAGYAAACCATATCAAACAATATATAGTAGGTATTTTTATCGGCAAAATTTTTATGAAATTTGAATTCAAAATTTCAGCACCTACCCACAGTGGCATATTATCGAAAAAGTACAGTGAGCGCGCACAAAATGTGCCGTAACGAAAGTCTAAGCAGCGACCAGGTCCATTCTGTGCGCCTAGTGAAAATATCGGTAACGCTGTGCAGCCGCCGACATGTGCGCACGACACGGCAAACGTCAGCGACAACCATAGCGACATTACGTCGTTTGACGTTTGCTGAGAAAACGGAAAGTAGCACGCAAAACGCAGGCACGCTTTGTGGATCCASCGAGTGCACGCTAACAGCGRCATGGCGCATATCAAATGACAGGGAAGGGCGCAGCAAGAGGCTTACGCGTTTTGTATACAACGTGAAGATGGACAGAACTGYGAACGTAAGCGATAATACAGCGCAGCGCGCGCTTTTCAAAGCGGAAGCCACACAACGCTTTTGTCGACATATGCAGTGCAAGTACTCCCGACTACTGGAAGGGACGACGCGCCGCCACATTTTCCGCGCAGTGTTTTCGAACACTGAAGGTCAGCCTTAATACACTTGCTGCTTGCTGTACGTGTGTGCTCCAGAGTATCCTTAGAAACTAGGACATAACCTTGGCGCTTCAAGGTTTTCACCTTGTGCTCAATGCCGCACGCCGGTTAGGTCAATGGCATGACCTTGTTCTTTGGCGGTCGCACGGATGGCATTGAGCGKCAAATAAGAACAAGCGCAAACTCTTCATCTTAGCAGCTCAGCGGAATAACGATAAGCTCTACACAAAGTCGTATGAAATGTGTGTATAACAACAAAGMTATTTTGACCAGCAGCGCGCGAACAAAGCGCGAGTGCACAGAAGAACTTACATATATCAGCACAATCATTAGAACTGTATACTTTTACACACATTCATGCAAACATAAGTTACAAACWTTGCAAACTCTGGTTGGCTTGGTATGTGCGATACTCGAAGCTTATTCGAGTTTCGTTAGCCGTCGCTCATTACTCACCGCCTTACCGCGTTCATTCCAAWTCAAATTAAACGRTGGCGGCGCGACGCGGCGAACGCGCTTTTTGTTGGCGCTGGCGCGTTCAGCGCGAGCTCAACATCAGCTAACAGCGTCTCACGAATGCCCAGAAAGCAAACGACCACAACTCTCGAAACCTGTTTACCGCCAAAAAGTTGAASGCTTGAGCACAAACAAAAACTGCCTTTATAAAAACACCCACAGGCAGTAAGTAGAACCATCTCACTCACACGCCTTGCCTGTGAAACATATATCGAAWCGTAGCGMTTGCCTGCCGCGTTCGCTCACACCCATCGCCAGGTTAAATGCACGCGCCACCTAGCGAACGCAATCAACTACGAGTATTGAAGGCGCGCGCTGTGTTTGGCCATATGTGGAGCATACATTTAGCAGGTAAACGCTGTCGCTGCGTTTCTTTTCGCCTAGTAAGGCGGTCAGAAATTTGTTTCACTTTTGTTTTGCGCGCTGCGCGTGTGTACACCGCGCGCCGTTGAATACGCTATGCGTGTGAGCGTCGGCATTGTGGTGGTGCTCAGTTCAATGTACGCCAGTGATTTTTGGTAGTTTCGTCGGTTGTTGAACTCTCGAAATTTGTAAAAGTAGGTAGAAAGGTAAGTGACCCCCCGAGYGACTAAAGACGMGTRCTCATTACGTTGTCGCACCAGTGATGGATGGATTGTTTGTAGCGAGCGCACCTAAGCCGCTGAAGGTTTTCACTTTTGCCAAGTCGAGACGCACTTGGCGCGTATGTACAAACATACATACATGTCGCTGTTTMTGTATGCATGTAATTTGTGTGTTCATTTGAAGGTGACATGAATTGGAAACTAGATTGTATTCCAGGTGGATTAAGCTTAGTTACTAATTTACAGGTTGTTTAAGGAGTGTGTAGAAAAAGAGGTGATTTTAACGGTTCTATGAACCGACGCATACATTTTTTTTCGTGTTCTGAACTTTAAATTAGAAATATACTCATAAGAACCCTTTTTGCCTTTGATCATAAAAATGTTGATAAGAAAATACATATTTCAGAAGACACGCCTTAGATAAAAGTATATTATGGCATCATCAAATGCCTTAAAATCTAGTTTCTAAAGGCAAAGCTGTGAATCAATTTTTAGTTAATCGAAGRAAAAATTGTCGAAAAATTAAATGTTTAAGTGAAGAAATCGGCAAATGACTGGTTTTCTGCCTAACACATACCACTATTATTTATCCAATGACATTACTTTTTCTACCTCAACACTTCCAACAAAAGTACAAAATATCTCCAGCGGCACAAAACATTCCGTCCATCACATTTCCAAGTGAAGCGGCAACACTTATTTCCGCGCACAATCACACAACGCAACCACCTCACACACTCGTTCGAATTTCGTTTTATACGCCGGCTGTTCGTCGAGTATATTTTAACAGCTGCAACGGAAAGTTGCCAATTTTCTCGCAACAATCACCTGCGGTTTTTGTTGAGCGCCTAGTACGTATAAACTCGGCAACATTGCAAGTGCTGCAAACGCGTTCGAGTTTGTTGGTTGGCATCGAGCGAGCGAGCGACGAATATCGTCAACGCGTTTGGTGGTTGCTTGGTTGATTCGCCGATTGCGTCGATTCCGTCCTGGTGGCCGTTTACTGGGTCGCTTGGTTGGTTGGTAAGTGCTATAAATAAGTAGGTGGCTTGCTTGAGTGKCTTGTCGGCGGCGAAACGAGAGTCACTCCATTTAAGCTGTTTGTCATCAGCTGAGTTTCTTGTGTCTTCATGTGCATGTGTGTGACGCTCGTGTATTTCCACCAATTGGTCTGTCTGGCAGTGTTGTCTCAGTAAAGTGGTGTTATAATACGACAGCTAGCTGTTGCTGTTCTTGAGTTGCTGTRTACCTGTTATGGATGAAGTAGATTCTGTAAAAAGTATCGGGAATTTATAATGAAAAATATTTCCCGATAGTTGGTAGCACTGGCGTAGTGTTGCGAATTTGTTCCGCTGTCCGCTGGATCAGTCTGTTAATTTTTTGAAGGATTTTCAATAATGTGAGTGTTAAACGTTTGGRTTTCGAAGATGATAACGAACATTTAATTGTTACAATTACTCTAGTGCTGCCTTCTTAGCATTCAGTTCGCTGAGTCAATTTGTTAATTTTTTGTAGGATTTAAAATAATRCGAGATTTAGGTTTCTGGGCTCAAAGCTACGAAGGCTACATAATTAAATAGTTGCAACTACTCCAGTGCTTTCTACTTTAAAATATGATTTCTTTAACTTAAACAAAACATTCTTAGATATGAAGAAAAATTWACTTAAATGGTGCCTGAAGCTTCCGGAATTATATTATCCTCTTCGTTTCAATATGGTTTGTTTTTACAATTAAAAGAGTTTGAATAAATTATTATTATATAAATTTCTGAATTTATAAAAATATGAAAAAGTGCGAAAAATGTGGTAGTGTAGTTAACSCTGACCTTCAAAAAATACGTGTCTAAATTTTATAACTTCATAAGAGGGTTTCCTMTGCGTCTGGCGAAGCAATCATTTCAAGTGGTTTGCTAAACCGTGATTGCAACGGACGACAAAGTAGGTGAAACAACAAACTGACGAAACTGTATTAATTGATCTTCGAATTACTACTATCAGTACGCAGTTCTCCTCAGGGAAGTTGGCTGCCAGCTGGGCCTATATAAGACCCTGACTGTGCTTGGCCAGTACTAAGGTGACTCTCACGCTGCGATGTGATGAGGATTAAGTAGAATGATATTGAATTGAGTAAAATACAGTAGTATGAGCAGATTTTTTGAAGACAGCGTGAGATCTACGTTGCGGAGGGTGAAGAAAACCAGAATATTACGCCGTTCATAGAATTAGTTGTACTTCTTAAAATTCTTCATAAGCTTTTGACGTTTAGTTTGGCCTACCGATCGATCTACTATCTATACACATATATCGAAAGTTCATATACATATTTCCAAATATTCTGCGAGTTTTTTTGATGCGACAAGTAGTTTCAGAGATATAAACGCAGTTTTTAACTGTTTTTTCAATGCTTGTGAGGGCAATTCCGCCTCTTCTAAGCATATTTTGCCTTAACAACTTCTTCAACGTATAAATTCATTCTTGCGTCCTAGCAATTGCCTAACTCGCCTCTATGGAAGGACCAGCCCTACCTGTGAGGAAATGTAAATCATCATCAATGATAATGTCAAATCACAAGAGACTCACAATAAACGCAATGAGAGGAAATAGATAGAAAGAGCAGAGTTGCTCCACTTTGATATGTCACACAGCATATGTTCAACAGGCTTCTATGTCATGTCCTGCGTACGTTAATCGAATACAAAAATCAAAACCTATTAAACCTAGCCCTTAATCGGTGTTCAAAACTTTAAACGAGCTTTTCTCGAAACGTTGTTTTCAGAGCCGGTGAGGAAAAGTTCTTCAAAACGGCTAGACAGATCGACTTAAAATTTCACACGCCCTTTTTAGATATATTCTCAGGTAATGGTCGAAGGAGTAACATTTTTGATAATAACTTTTTCTTTAGTCTGTAGTGTAAATTTTTGCGCCGAACAAAAACCTACTTTTTTGGGAAGCCAAAAATTTTGACAATCCATCAATGATTTTTGTTGAGACATAGAGTTTTAGAAAATTCAAACAGTAAAAMCTTTCTCGTTCTAGACCTTACTGGAGTTCAGCTACTGGATCAAGGGAATCAYAATTTTTTCAAAACGAATCGTTGATTCTTCAACACCCTTTATTTATTTTATGCAAATAAATTTAATTTGTTTACTAAACTGCCCTTTGATTTACGAACGAACAATTTCTCAYGACTATCAATAATGTTTGCTTGAAGAAGAAAATACATGAAGAAACAACAAATAAAATTACTGAGAGAAAACATGACTTTTTCACGCTACTGCGCAGAATCCTTTGCGTTTACATTTTTCATACAAAAAAAAAAAAAACAACTTTATATACCCTAATAACATGTAAATGATATGCTATATGTGAGCAAACTAATGTTTTCTTTAATGTAAAATAGTTGTGTACTTAGATAACAATAAACTGGTTCAGAAATCAAATTAATGGGTAMTATAAAACTAAATAAATTCAAAGAATGAAAATTGGAGTGGCTAAATAGTATCTTWAGCAAATTAAGCGGTATTAAGTGTGAATTTGTGTACGCTATGTGCACATTGTTAAAAAWAAATTATATAGAATACCGTGGGTGGCCAAAATAGGCAGACTCAGCTTTGGTGAAAGCCTTGGTTAGGTTATGGTGAGGTAATATTCTTCGAACGAATGACAATTAGTGATGCTATTAGGTGCGCAACGAAGTTTTCACTATTTTTTTGTTTTTATGAAAATGCAATTTTATTGCAAAAATATTGTTACAAATGAATTATTCCAGGTATTACCTATCGCTAGTCACAACTTTTCCACCTTTCTGGCAAACCTCGAATACCATTACGGTAATACTTTGTATCTCGTGATGCTAACCAAGAATCAAGCAWTTTTCCGATGGCATCTTGGCATTGGAACTGCTTCTGGGCCAGACCCTGTGCCAAYGAACAGAACAAATAATAATAATCGGACGGAAATATGGAAATTATGGCGGGACTATACATTTAAGCGTTTCTAGGCAGATTTKAATGGGTTTGGCAACGTGAAGCATACGGTTTTCTTGCAGCAGAATCACTTTTTCGTACGTCTCCTGGTATTGAGGTCAAAGCAAGCAACCTCTTCTTGCGTTTGACACAGATCCTCTTCGAGCTACGTTTCCAATTCACCGCCTTCGTAAATTTTTGGCCGCGCACGGTCATTAATAACGGAACCGCCGACGTCGCTGAAACCAATCAAGGCACATTCTAGCACTTGGGGGAGATGGGACTAACTTGTAGACTTAAGTTCGGTTAACAATAACACAACGCGAAGCTTTAGAACTACAAGCATACGGTCTGCAGCAGTGGTTCATCCTAAGTACAAGTACYTGTACAATAATCTGTCTCAACCTACTACGTTTCACCATGGGACAGAAAGATCCAGAATCCACAAGCGAAATCCTTTTTTTTAACTAATCTATTCAGATAATTTATCAAAAATACACATGTATATACACATAGTTATGTTAAGCACTGTAGTATACATGTACATTTACATATATACTTCATATTATGTTGGACAACGTAAGTACAACAAAAACATTCAAATGAGATGCCGCTCTATTTTTAATCAGTGCTAAGGTTATTTTTATTGCTCCGTCAGAATAAATGTCTTCAATATCTATTGAATTATAGTGTAAATAAATAGTGTAAATGTCACAACAAAACTACACGAGAGAGAGAGAGAGTGAGAACGTGCTTAACCAATTAGTTGGGAGGTATGCTACGACAAGCGTCGGTTAATATACATATATAATAAAAATGATATCCAGAGATATTTAAGAAGTACATTTTAGGCAAGATTATTACAACAAGTTTAAAACAGTTGACGATGTAAAAACAAAATTWTAAGTTTTTAAGAATTTGTACAACCAAAAATGTTAATAAAATGAATTTTCAACAAAAAATCACTTTCAAATTTTTGCTACATACTTGTTCTGTATACAATGATCTACCAATTTAATCAGGCTAAAACGACATCTCTCCCGAGTCCGTTCGAATGATTTTGGTGGATATTTTGGGTAAGAAAGACGTTCTTGCTCGACTCGTYCCGATAAAGCTGAATTATTTCATAAACAGGTCTTTTTATGCATGCTTGATCGAGCGAATTCTGATCCCACATTTATGGAAAGCATTATAACTGTCGATGAGAGATGGGTTTATGAGTTTGATATGYGAACAAGTCAACAATTATCGCAATGGAGGAAAATAATGAGCCGAAACCAAAAAAATCACGCCAAAGCCGCTCAAMAATTAAAGTGATGCTCATTGTTTTTTTCGATATTCGTGGTTTGGTACATCATGAATTTGTTACGGAGGGTCAATAAGAAATTCTATTTGGCTGTATTAAAGCATTTGCGTGAGAACATCTGTCAAAAACAGCTGGAATTGTGGAAGAACAATTCAGGGCTGCCTGTAGGGTGCATAAGTAAAAATAAATCTGCGGCGCCTAAAGATCTACGCTCGCAGCGTCCAAAGCACAACTGAAGAAATATCTAATGCTGATTTCAAAAATCTATTAATTGTACAAATGAAAAGTCTCTCTCAACAAAAGGCACGAAAATCCAAATCAAAATCAGGAAAATAAGATGAAGACAAAAACCAACTTTTCCCCAATGGTCAGTGAATGCCGAGGCAAATCAATAGCGAACAGTCTGCGCCTGTTGTTCAAGCGAAACGCTGGCAAAWATAAAAAAATAAATACCGTAAAAACTTTCTTAAAATAAGGTGGGTGTTTTTTAATATAGAAAATTGTCAATAAAAAATGAAATACAAATTGATTTCATGCTGAATATTTAATTACAAATGCTTATGTGAGATTTTTTAAAAACGAAGAGCATATGAAAATGGTTTTAAAATACATAGCAATGTCAATAAATTATGTTTTTTAATAGTTCAAAATATATTTTGGGAATTATGTAATGTTTTTGAAGTTACAACTTGTTATTAAGGCCGTGAACTACTTTGTATGGAATATTTATAAATGCAAGTTTGTGTAAATATATATTAAATAATTGAGAGCGCTGCTGTCAACAAAAATATATTATATAATTTACACAATTTGTATGAAAACGTATATATGGAGTAAAAAACATGAAAACATGAAGGCTGTTTTCTACACCTCACTACCTGAAGTCAACAGTTTTATTTAATTCATGGTGCCAATGAGGAAGTTAATCATCGGAAATATTTTTGTTATATACTCGTCAGTGCCTGCGCTATTATTTATATTTATACAATATACTTTGCACGGCAAAAAATGGAAAATAGAATACTGAAGACAAAAACTGTCACTTAAGTGCGTGAAATATATTAAAAGAGACAGCACACAGTAAAATATAAATTTGTATATGTTTGCAGATTATTAGGAAATTAAGAAAAATTAACCAAAAATTACAAAAAAATTGACATAAATAATTTAAAAAAGTTTAAACTTAAGTAAAAAAATAAAAATTAAAAAAAAATTTTTAAATTAAGAAAAATAAAAATTTTAAAAAGAAATACATATATAAAATTAAGTTTTTTGATAAAAAAATGTCAAAAGCACTTTTAAGATTTAAAAACACGTGTTTCAATAAATATGAAGTAAATAAATATATTAATTAAATTAATTTTAATTAAAAAATTAGGTTTTATTAATAAAAATTAAAAAAAAAATATAAATAAAAAAAAAATTTTAAATTMAAAAAAAAAAAAATTTGAATTTTAAAAATGACAAAATTAAAGAAATATGTTTCATTAAAAGAAAATAAATTAATTTAAAAAATCTTAACTAAAGTATGCTAAATGGCAAATTCGTGCATTTGCTATGTACATATTATATGTAGGTACATTTGTATTTTATATACACATGAACCTAATATCCAAGGTCTGAGAAGATGTACACACATACACGCTTACATATTTGCATATAAAAGTAAATAGAGCTGTACAATTGTGCGATTTTTCTCCGCGAGCAGATTTACTAACTGCGAGATACTTTGAAAATCAAAAGGTGGTTTTGAACTTTTAAAGAAGCACAAAATACTGCAGCAACCGTGAAGAGAGTAAAAGTTTAGCGCTAATTATTATTTTTTGAGAATTTTTCTTTCTTCCTTGCGATATTTGCTTAACACATTCGTCATTGTGTGAAAAACATGAAAACTCAGTTTGTGTGTGACAACAAGAAGCTTAAATATAAAAGCTGTGTGAATGCCTAAGCACCCACGCAATATTTTGAAAGTGAATATTTTCAATATAAATAACTAGGTACGTACGTACATACATACATACATACGTATATATAGGGGTATTAGTGCACTTATTCACAGATTTTATAATTAAAAAAGTAGCAGAACCCGAAAACAGTGAATAAAAGAGGTATTCGCAGAGCGAAAAMAAATATATAAATTGACAAAAATGTTAATACAAAATATTGGAATACTAAGTATTACAGTTTTGTAAAATTTACTTTAATATTTTTTAATAAAAATTTAATTTTTTTCGAAAAATCTAAACAAACAGAGTTAGAAATAGCAACGCCAAATCATATGTTAAGAATTTTTTATGTTGTCATTTTACCTAAATTGAACATAGATACACCAAATACAGCAAATACATATACATATATATGCATATATGTACTCATATGTGTGTAAAATGTGTTTTATTAATAATGTATATGAAAAATCTTGAAAATATTTGTGACACTTCAAGWTTTTATTGTACCAGTCTGCGCGAAAAATCGTAAAAACACTGCAAATGCGCGCAACAACAAAATAATTATTGAAAAACATGGAAATTTATTTATATACAAGTATATATAAAACTATAATATGGACAAATAAAAGCTTTTATTCTCTCTCTATGCTCTAAAAATAGTAAATCGTCAGTTGCATTCATTTTCGAAATGGAGAAATTTATGACGGGCCGTCCGCAACGTAATCGACGACATAGCAGGTGCGTCTGTGCGTGAGTGCGCATAACAGGGCTACTAGCTAATTTGTTTGGACGCTTACTAAATGAACTGAACTTTCGGCCAATTGCTAACATATGTTTTTGTTTTTTGTTTAGTTGTACCCTTAACTAACACAAAAAAGAGTTATTGTATTTTCTGTATATTTCGTTGCATACCTAAAGGCGTTTAAGCGCGTTTGTTGTTTTTAAGCGTGCGTAATCGTTATTTTTTGGCTGCAAGCTAACAAGTGCATTAAAAACGTAAGTTTTCAAGCATGTGTTGCATACTTTAAGGTGTTTAGAAGTTCTGTTTACAATATTTACATTTATTAAATTTTTATATGAAACTTTAGAAAACTATAAAAATTCCTTATACTTTTTAGACGCGCCTGGCCGCCAGAAGATGATCTACATCAAGCGCGTCTTGTTAAGCGGCTTTTCACGCCCGAGATTAAGCGCATGCTTAAAGATTGGCTTGTGCGGCGGCGCGAGAACCCCTATCCAAGTCGTGACGAAAAGAAGCGCTTAGCCGTTGAGACCGGCCTTACATACACACAAATCTGCAATTGGTTTGCCAACTGGCGACGAAAATTAAAAAACTCAGAGCTGGAGCGTGATAAAAGATCTTGGGGTCATCTTATTAAGCATTACAATACAAACGCACGTGGGAATGTGGAACAATTTAGCATATCTTCGGAAGATAGCATTTGGGAAGAAGATGAACTGGAACGCAATGAAGACATGGGTAAGCACAGTGATGAGGACGAATATGAATCGCGTGAAGGTGGCATTTCTAGTAGCACCGAAGGTGCAACCAGCTCAACAGGCGGTTATAGCTATGATAGTTTCGTACAGAGAAAACCCAAAATGAGTTGCTTTGTGAAAAATCAAACATGCGATAATCGAAAAGTGAAAACGGTGGTTATTGAGAGCGCAAATAATTCGCCAGGCAACTCTGTATTTTGTGGTGGGACAATAATAACGCAAGAACAACAGCCACAAAATATTCAACAGCCAAACCCAACCACTCACACAGCAAAGTACAAACAGAAAATGATGGAAAAGTATCTGCGCGATACGCATGGAACACATTCAAATACAATGGCACCACAATGTGATGCACACATTGTCAATGATGGATTTAACAACAAGCAGTTCGATGTCGAAGCCGCTCTTCATAGTGGAGATGACGGCGATGGCGTTCGCAATGGCGATAATGCCGCGCTGTCCAAATGGTTACAGAGTGCTGCACGCTTTACGCCTGACAAAAACAACTACTTTATCGAGTGGAATGGCAAAAAGTGAGTTAAACGCAATTTTAGCAATAAAGTTGGATTCTCGTCATATAGTTATTATTGTTTCTATATTTATAGCGGCAAAATGGAACAGAAACAACGCATAAAACAACTGCGGCGCATCACCATTGTACCAGCCAACTCCAGTGGCGTCACGCGGCGTCAATCCTTAAATACCTGCCCCACACAACTAGAATTAGACGCCGCAGAAGCATTGGCAAATATGGCATTTAATTGTCGACAACGGAGAAGGGATTGTAATCAAAACGGTGTGCGTCTACAGACAGTCAATGCCATTAGTTCCTAGCAATTGTTGCATATAAATTAATAAACATGAACATTCACAGCATTCCAGTGTAAATTATGGGTGCAAAAGACCAAGCGAATATTCCTGACATCAATAATGAGTTAAAAAGACAAAAAAAGAAAAAAAATGAGTGAAAGGAGCGAATGAATAAATAAAAAATGTGAATAAATAATAGTTTTCAGTAGAATTAAATTAATAATGATAAAGTAATGGTGGGTATGTTGCATATAAGAAAATGTGTAAAAAAATATAAAATTAACTAAAAATGATAAAAATTAATCAAATAATATAAAGAAATATGAAATACATTAAACTAAAATATATGTACAACAATAAACTTAAATGATATAAAATGAAATGAAAATCCTACCTAAAAATATTCATATTCCCCAAAGGCAGCCAAGTAGATTTTCTTATTTGCGCCATTCAATTATATCTAGTTTTCTCGTACTTATAGCACTCATACAAACACTTTCACACATAAACACTTTGTTAGTAATTTCTTTTTTGACAGTATGTACTGGTTTTTTTTTTTTTAATTCTATTAAAATTGTTTTTATTAAATATGTAGGCACTAGTGTATCAATTTACTTCACGCTTTCTCCTCTTCGTTTGCCTCCTTGGCAGGCGCATTTTCATTAGCCTCACTCTTTGCGTATACATCGAGCACATTGACAAAATTCTTTTGATGAGTTTCCAATTGCTGAACAACATTGCTCGCTGCCATATTTAGTGTTTGTACTAATTCTCCTTGCGCTGCCTGCAGACCCGGTAATTGTGCGTACGCCGTAAACTCATTGCGATTTAGTAAACACTCGTCAACTATACCAGCCATCAATAACATTTGTGGCACACGACGTGTAATACGCAAAAGTTGCGACACCTGCGGCTGAGTTGAGAAAACCACACAATTATTGCTTTCGAATAATGGTAGAATTGCTTCAAAACGTGTGCCTTCAACAGCTTTTTGTACAATTTTTTTACCATACGCTTTTAAATGCATATTTTGTTTGTGCAGTTGTACGCGTAGGGCGAATAGATCGTCAGCTTTGATGGAATTTAAATGATAGAATCCAACCATACGTGAATGTTCAAACCAATTGCGTACTTCGCGTGCAATTACCGCAATATAAGGATTCTCTATATCTGCTTCACGTTGTCGACGTTGAAAACATGTTGCTTTCTTTTTGGGCTCTTCAACTTTAGCCGACAAATATTGGGCGGCAGCTAGCACTTTGGCACGTTCATAGTGGGGCGCCTTTGGACGTTGTATATTGATTTTTCCACGGAAACGTTGCGATTGTGCGATAGGTGTACGACAGGATAGCAGCGTTACTGTTAAATGCAATGCAATTAGCGATTGGCAACCTTGTTGTATAACCACAAATCACTTACCTTGTCGGATTAGCTGCRACATGTTACTTTGTATTTATACTTAAACTTTTATTTTTTCGAAAGTTGTCAAACGACACAAATTGCAAACGCACAATTTTTTGTGAAAACTACAAAATATTTCACTTCAATAATAGAAAATCAGAAAATATTTTCACAWGAGCAACGCGCCGCTAATAAATAGAAACAGCTGTTCACATTTTGTGATCATTCACGATGGCTCATTCAGTGATTGTTTGTGAATAGGCAACGTAAATTGACGGAAAAAATATGTTTGAATTTGTGTATTTGAAAAGTCGTTATTTTATTTGAAAAAGAAGAAATCATAAAAATACTCAAAGATGGCGAAACAGAATTATTGCTGTTCCGCTAAACAATGTAAGTAATAATTGGTATTAACTTTAACTGTAAAATTTACATTTAAGTATATTTTAATGCAGACTTTTCGTATATGCGGAATTTGGTGGATACGTTGATTATAGTTCCGCGCATAATTATTTGCAAAAAACTGAAGAAAAATGAGCTATTTACACAGACTGTCACCATAAAGAATAAGGGACTGGTGAGAATTTGTATAAATAATAACAATATAATTCAGTTTTTACTGCTTATCGTATTATCTTATCAGTATCCCCGCAATTTAACATATTATACGGACAGTCTACAGGATACAAATATCACATTTCCTAAATATTGGGAACATACCTACTTGCAACCCGACGAAATTTTTGAAATAAAAGTCGTAATTAAACCGAATGCACACAGTGCGCATACCAATTGCAGACATATTTATATTGAATCGGCACATCCAAATATAACTTTTGAAATTCCAATTGGTAAGGTTACAATATTTTTTAATATGACATTTTTAATCATTGAATCAAAAAACTCATTTCATATTGAAATACATATATATATTTTTTAAGTATGTGTTTGTGAACTCTAACATTTTTTATAAAATATTATTATTAGTCTCAAAATCAATGAATGAATGCTACCTACCAAAATCAATAGACTTCTCCTCCACAACGCTAGATGATTCTACTTACTACGAATTTCTTGTCTACAATCCAACCAAGGATGTCCAAACACTTTTTTTTAGAACGTAAAAATTACATAACACTATTTAAAATAAAAAAATTATAATTATTAATTTTCTTACAAACTTATCTAAATAGCTATCCTAAAAATATCAAGATCACCCAAAGCAAAACTCGCATTCCACCGCGCGATAGCATAAAGGTGCTATTAGTTCTCAAAGTGAATAACCTTAATATAATGCAAGATATAATCAAAATTAAAATCGAAAGCGGTATATATAAATCTCTTGATATTATAATTTACTTAATATCTGAAAAAATATTAATGGTACATTTTTTTTACAGTTAGCTCTGAGATTCAAATTATGCATACTCCATTAATAAACTCCTTTTACATAAATACAAATCTCTTAACCTTCGAATCGTTGAAATATGAACGCGAAACAACACGAAGTTTTACCGTTTGTAATGAATCGAATGAGGATAAAACTTTTACAACCACATTCTTTACCGATCMCGAACAATTGGATGAAAATTTTGACTACAAAATGGATGCAAGGCAATCACAATCGTACTCCATACGTAGTTCCAGCTCCTTCAATATGATTCATACGCCCTTAACCCACCCATGCGATTTGGTGGCTTACAAGCACTTTCGTATCGACAATGAGGTATGTATTAGATATAATAAATTTGCCAGGAAGTTTGTAAAACTCAAAAGTATATATATATAAATAATCAGCATGACAAGCTGATTCTATTTACCCAAGTTGTCCCATAGTTTCTCAGAAATAGATCGAAATTTTCATTCGTCCGTTTCTCCCAAAAAAGTTGCTCATTTGTAGGAGCCTTCGATGTCGGGCCTCAATAGATATAGCTGCCATACAAACTGATCGATCAAAGTCAAGGAATATGAATTATTTTTAAGATGACAAATTATTTTCACGAAATTTCTAATTTAAATAATCTGTATTGCCCAAGGCAACGGTAGAATATCCAAACAAAATGATCGAATAACTATAGTATATAGCTKCCATACAAACTGATCGATCAAGTTTAAGATACTAATCTTCATAGAAGATATTTATTGCTTATCAAATAACCTTGTTTCGACTTGAAGATAGTTTATATGTTTATAGGAAATACACTTCCGAAAAGTATTCCCTCGGTGCAGCCGAAGATCGGAGATTGCACATATGTAAATCATTAAATAAACGAATTAGTCTAATTCAATAATTTTTGTTGACAGATCTTTACGATTGAAGGTAAAAGTTCTATGGAGATCTCTGTAATATTTCATCCGGTTTCGCTTAAGGAGTGTGATTTTAGAGAAGAAGAACCATCACCGCACAAAGTGAGGACCATATTATTTTTAACTATAGGCGAAGAAATGTCCATGGTCCGCCAATTAATAAATTTTCAAGGTTCTATTATTGGACCAGAGGTCGAAATCACACCTAAAGATATATACTTACGAACTGTTTATATGGGCGAAGAACATTGCACAGTTATTAAGGTTTTAAATATAGATGGTGAGTATGCTTCGATTTGTTTTTTGAGTTATTTTCCCAAAACCGGGGGTCTTTTAATAATACTGTTTAGTGAAGATCGCTTAATTATGAACTCAAAATTTCACAATTATTCTCTATATTCTTTCCAATAGGTAAAGTAAATGCCCTTGTAAGATTTAAGGACGTTTATAATTTTGAAACTGCCGGCGCTGTTGTACTACCGGAAGAGGGCTTCGATTTGGAACCTTGTAAAAGCGGAATTTTTCGAATCTCATTCTTCTCGAAGGTGGTTGGAGCTTTTGTGGCGAAATTGCGTTTTAAGGTCAAAAATGGCGATATGGAAGAAGTGAACATTAGGTATGAGTACAACTATTGCGGCTTTCAAGTCAAACATTGGTATGAAAGTAATATATTATAAATAATATGTATTTAGTCTTGAGTTCTGACAGCTTTGATGTCTAAATGTATGTCCTTTCGAATCATTATATCACTTTTCTTAATTTTGAAGTTAAAATAAAACACGAAAGTATATTCTCTTACGCCAAAACAGAGGTCACTCRCAACATGCACGCGTGAAAATGTTTCCGGATGAATTGGATATTGGTTGTGTGCCTTTTGGTATACCCTGCAAGCGTTTCATATTATTAGTGAATCCCTTTATGATACCGGTTGCGCTGCAATTTACCGTTGGCGAAGATGGTGACGAGATACCTTTGGTACTTAATGTGAACGATGCTGATGGTTTGCCAGTGATAACGGTTAAGGATTATATATCCGCAATGATTGCGATGGCAGAAGAGGAATTCGAACCGAATGCAGTTGAAGAACCAACAGTGCAGTTGGTAAGTAGATCGGACTCACTACTTTCGTATCGTTCCGTAAGCACRGAGGAGTCCACATGCAGCACATATTTTGAGGAGGAGATCTTAGGTGAGAGTGATAACGCATTTTTATTTTCTAAAGTTTTATAATATTTTCTCCCCTCCTCTAGAGAAAATACCGGATTTCGCATTTACCATTATAAGGAAATTGAGAGAAACACGTCATTTAGAGCAGAAAGAGGTCGAAGAGTGTGTTGTCAGCGCGACTTTAGATGTKCTACTAAAGACCAATTACTTCAATTCGCTCAAGCAATTCGCAAATTATGCACAAATGGATTGGAATATTATACCATTCAATCCGAAAGAGATTTACTGTGACAAGGAAATAATATATCTGCAACCGAATGCGGGTAAAACGGTAACCGTGCTGCTCATACCGAACAGAGTTGGCTTATTCAATCGGGCGCTCAACGTACGCATTTGTCCAATAACCGAAGAGGAACTAAATAAGAAAAAAACAGATTTTTCTTGGGATTTGCGTGACAGATTTTTCGTATCTTCCAAAATGTTTACAACCAAAATTTGGATGGAATATGCTTGTCATCTGCCTATTATTAATTTTACACAAGAGATTAACTACGAGTCCGAAGAGACTTACATTGATGATGAGGTGCAATGCGCTATGCTCTTTAAGAATTCATTCAATGTGCCCGGATTCTTTTACTACGATGTTATAGTAATTACATATATATACTTTTTCCGAAATAATTTTCACAGATTAACATATCTTCGGTGTTTTCAGCCCTCGGATGAAAATGGTGAAATGATATTTCCCGAAAATATATTGAAATTCTTCATACCCGCCTTTGGAAAAGTTGTTGTACACTGTACTGTAATATTTCGTCGTTTGGGCAAAGTCAAGCTCTCTGGACTGTAAGCCACAACAACAACAAGTCGTTTAAATATCATATTAAATTTACAATTATTTTCAGAATTAAAATCGTAGGAAATTTAAATGGTTCGCCATTCCACATAGTCGCAGATGTCAAGCCTGTGAAAATTAAAGTCTCTGCGACACGAGTTCACAGACGACAAAAAGTGTTGGAAACAACGGCAGAACATATTTATGTAACAAATGACACGCCAACGGTGACTAGATTCACAGTGAAATTGGTAAGCAGAAAGCTTAGAGCAGTTCTTTCTTGAGAGATTTTAGTCTTTGATCAATAGACTGTTTCAGATTGCGCTTAAAACACACGTAACCATAGAYATAAGTGAGACTTTCAAAACTTTCAGTCAACCCTCTTACCAAAGTACAGTGTTTGTCGGGAAAGTAATAGGATTTAGTTGATTAAAATTTATTGAACCAATCGTTACAGTTCTTTAAAAACTTTCAAAATATTCTCCTCCTGCGCCGATGCAGTTCTGCCAGCACGATTTCCAAGCATTGAAGTCGYCTTGGAAGGCTTTCTCCAGAATAACCTTGAGAGCCGAGGTGAATACTGCTTGGATCCCCTTTCATCGGTCTTTTCAGGAAAGGAAACAAAAAAGAGTCCGGGGCGACCACAACCTGTAGGGYGGGTGCGGAAGCGTTGGGATGTCGACATTGGTTAGGTAGCTGTTCACAAGAAAGGCGGTGTGAGCCCCGTCGTGATGCTTCCAATCGTCTGCGATGTCTTCTCGGGCTCGATTGACACTTTGTCTGAGTCTCTTGAGAAATGACGGTTTGTCCAGGAGGAACAAATTCATGGTGGTCGATGCCTTTGATATAAAAAAAGACAATGAGCATAGTTT